AAAAATGAGGGGTTACAAAACATATTTCGTGTTCTACTTTGTGGAAAGGGAGGTGCTGCAGGGAACATTGGGTTTAAGGTTTGGGCTGCGTTTAGGATAAGCTGGTGTCATGGCCTTGACCCTTTATCTCCCTTTTTTTTTTTTTTAAACCCACTGGTCTTACTTTCTCTGATTTTGTTTCCTTGGCTATATGCCTTGGCATTTTAGAGATTCCATAAAAATAGGTATTTTTCCCTCTTTGGTGAGTAATGGAAGAAGTATGAAACCTGGAAATGGCATCTGTAAAAGTTTAGTATATAAAATGCTTTTTCCATATATGCAGTTACTGATTAAAGTAAACTAATTATGTTTCTGAATTTAAGTTCTAGAAGAGGAATAAAATGAAAAAATTACTTTTAAAAGGGGAGAGAAGGACACTCACTCACCGTAACTCAAAACCATTAGACGGCATGCTCAGCTGCGAATTGCAGGTGCAGGCCAGGTTTCACTGTAACAAACTCCAGAGAATCACAGAATCCTTGGATTGGATTGAATTCTATTTTTTAAATAACATTATTTGAAATGTGTGGTTCAGCTTTTATTGTTACACCAACATTACAGACTGTAATAGGCAGTAACCTTTGTTGTAAGGGTCTTCTGCGTGTGTGTATATGGTGGTTTTTTTAATCTTTGTGGAAGTTAATAGGAGAAATCTTTTTTCAGAGTAGCCAAAATGTTGTCAGTGCCACAGCTTGAAACTAGATTTTTAATTGGCAAGCGTGAAACTTAATAATCAATTGTGGGTCTCTAAATCTTTAGGTTAATTCTTGACTTTATATCTTGTACAATTTGAGAATATCCAGTTTTATTTTCTTAAATTAAATTAGAAATTTCAGTTCTAAATGACCCATGTTTCACTTTTTTTTAAGCTGTGTAAAACCTTACTTTTTCCTTAATATAATTCACATAGCGCTCTCTCTCTCTAAATGTTGGTTTCAGGGAAAGTTGTTTAGTAATGTGGGTTTCTAGCCAGAGCAAACATTGTCTGTGTAAATAAACACAGCACACACAGCTCCTCTTTTTCACCTTGTTTAGGAATGCACATTGCAGTGAGTCTTCCTGTCACGGAGCAGAAAGAGAAGGCTACTTTTGTAGTGTACTTGGAAGCCTCTGAAGTAAAATTTGCTGTTTTTTGGTGACTTACATTTGAGTTACAGGAAGCGTAAGTGACACGTGCTCTCAGTATGGAGGGTCGTTTAGAGCTGCAAAGAACCAAGGAGGATCTAGAAGGAGTTAAAGGACCTTATCAGTGTTGTCGCATCATAAATACACACACTTTAAAAATAGTGCCAGGTCTTCCTGCAGGTGCGTGTGTGTGCATGAGCCCTTCAAGGTGCCCTCTTCTTTGCACGTTCCCACAACACTGGACGTTCTGCAGGGCGGCTCTTAATACGGGAGGAGGGTTATATAAGAGCAGGACATTTTCTTTGGAAAGCCTTGAAATTCTCTCTCCGGAGGGAAGAAAGTTGGATTTTGATCTTGAATTCATAGCAAAGGTGTCTCTCTTCCAGTCCGGGGAAAATGTGTTTTTGGGCTGGGATTCAGTTGTCTGCACACTTGGTGATTGTTACAATGTTTGTTATGATCATAGATGGCCATAGTTTATGTTTTCAAAAGTCTGCCTATGTTGATGGGCAGTAGACAAGTTTTGTTTGCTTGCTTGCTTTTTGATTTGTACGGAATGAAAAAGGTTGACTGAGAAAGGGAAAGCAGCGAGGTAGCCCACCAGACTGGAGGGGTTAAGCGCGGGTCGCCCACCCTGTGTCAGCGCAGTGGGAAGGGCTCAGAGCGCCTGACTCGTTTCACGGGCCCTTGTTTGCCAGAGCTAGCTGGTAGATCTAATGGCACGGTAAAGCGTGCTGCATTTCAGTCTAAGGAGAAAGGTATGGAGCGCCATTAAAAGAAGAAAACTGGGCAACTTCAGTAAGCAAAGAAAGGAAGGGGTGTTCCCCAAAACTGCAGTGCCGTGGGGCACAAGGCCCGTTAATTCTGTAAGGTCAGCAGAACACATGTCTCTGTTATTCTAATATAGCTCAAAATTAGAACATGCCTCTGCCTTTTAAGGCGTCTAACCCAAACCTGATTACTTGAATTAGTGAAAATACTGTCACAGCAGCCACTCGTACGTCAGCCTCTTGCTGGGCCAGTAAATCCTTTCATTCATTCTCCTTCCCACCCTCATTCCTCCTCCCTCTTTTTCTTCCTGTGTGTGTGTTGTGTGTGTGTGTGGCGGTGAGATGGGGGTAGAGTTCAGTCACAGGAACACACATGTAGACCTTACGATGCAATAGGTTCTGTAATGGTTTCAGCGCAGAGAAAGCCAGCAGAGAAAACAACGACCCTGTGATGTCCTAGAGACCCTTGAAGGGCTCTGCTAGAGTTTAGGGAATTCCACAGGGGTGAGGACGGTGTCTTGGATGGGATCTGTTGGGAGCCTCACTCATGAAAAGGACTTGGTGGGTATGAAGCAGAGTCCCGGTCTGTGGTTCTCACACCAGCTCTTATTAGCTGAGGCCTTGACATTCACTGTGCCTCTCAGCTTTAGTTTCCTTATCTACACAACAGAGATAAAGGGCTATAAACTTCAAGCAAATTAACCTGTATTCTAACCGTAACATTTTTCAAAGTGTTTTTTTGTCATTACCTTGTAGCATCACTAGTCAATGAAATAAATAGAGAAGTTCCTCTGGTTCCCATTTTGCAAATTGGAGGGGAAAAAAAAAACTTAAAAGTTAGAGGATCTTTGCATTATATTGGTTGAGCACTTGTGCTAGACTAGGGGGACAGGTACACAGAAGAAAGCCCAGGGCCTGTCCTCAGGGAACTCTCAGTTCGGTGAGTGAATCGCCGTCTTGCGTGCTTGCAGTCTCGACAGAGCTCCCCTGTCACGTTGCTCGCCCACTGTGGAGGGGGTGCCCCTGAGGAGACACAGCTGTCACCCAGATTTGGGTGACGTGGCGATCAATGTGTCAAAGGAGCTCCATTTCTGCTCTGACTCTTCTTTCCCGTGAAAGGAAGGAGATGGCGATGAGCTAGCCTTCTTTTAGCCCACATGCACTCAACATATACTGACCCTCAATTTTAAGTTTTAAAAAAATCTTGGAAAAAGTTACTCCAACCGCACTTGGCCAGCCTGTGTGATAATAGCGGTGCAAGTATCGGATCCTGACCGCACTGTGAAGTGACCATTCCCCAGCCTTCCACAGAGTCAGGAAGGATGTTACCTCACAAAACATAATTGCCACCTTCAGACATCATTTCTCTATTTATTGTGGCCGGAGTCGTATATCCCAGCTGCCTGGGACATGACATGGTTTTCTGTCCCCGTGAGCAGTGCTGCTGGTATGTATCAGAGGCGAGCAGAGAAGAGGGGAAAACAGAACAGGCCAAACAGGAACAGTATAAACACTTGACTGTGTATTTACTTATTTTTTTCAGTGAAAAGTGAATCTGCTAAGAACACAGGCAGCGAAAACTGAGCACTTCTTTTGGAGCAAGAACGTGGAAATTCCCAGACACTTTCGGAGGACCGGCCGTATTGATGATGTGAGGGTGTTGTCACTTGGTGGATGGAATGTTTTGTTTCTCTGAAAAGTAATTAAACAAAGTGAAAAGATTTTTCAGTCTGTTTTCTAGCCTCTTGAATTCACTTGTCAGGCTTGGGCTTTAATATGCTTCATGCTGTAGGCGGAAAACTTTTCTATTTGCTGGTTAGATGCAGGACCAAACCCAGGCATAACCTGTGTCAGCCACAAAGTCAGCATTCCCTGCTGCGGAGCCCCCCGGACAGACAGGCCGTGGGCGTGCCCTGCAGCCTCAGGGGGGCTGACCCCTGCGTTGCCCATTCTTGCCTCTGGGATTCACATGTAACAACCTCTTGAGATGACTTGAAATGGGTCTTTTTCACTTGGGTAGCACCCAGTACGATGTCCTGTGTAAAGGGTTGTCTAAATACTGTGAACCACCATTTCTTATATTCACTTCAGAAGATCAGTGTGGCTCGGCGGTGTTGTTGGAACCGTCAGGGCTCACAGATTTGACTCCACTTGTCCACACGGTGAGCTGCGTCTTACCGCGAGTTCTGCACCTTTCATCCCATTCTCACTCCGCTCTTGCCGTCACCACACAGGGGCGTCGTGAGGAGCCGTTTTCTGCTGTGTTTTGGAACGTCTAGCAATAACTACAGAGAAAACACCAGGAACTCCTCAAAGTGGCATTGGAATGCGTATGTGTATTTATGTATAAACATGGCTTAATTTATACCTTATGGCAGCTCTGTGTGCATTATGATCTCACATATTAACGTTTCCTAGTTTTATTGGAATTTATACAATTATAAAATTGCAATATGACTCTAAATGATTAAAAGATGATTACATCTGTATTGCATCTGTGTACTTAAGAAAACAATGATACAATTGGACATTAATGAAATTCATTTTTAGTTTACAGTTAGAATAAGTTTTAGACCAAAAGGAAACCAGAGGTATTAATTAAAGAGACTTGGAACAATTGGAAATATGAAAAAACACAGGTAAGTGTAACTTGGGGTAGACACTGGAGAGGAGCGTGCAAAGCCAAGGATGCCACGGAGATCCTGGGTACAAAAGTAAGAGTGAGGGTGTTTGGGAGCTTGGTACGCAGACTGGGCTGTGGGACTGCTCTGGTTGTCCCTGTTCCTCCCTAGGGTAAACTGCCTGTGATGACCAAGACTAACCCAGTTACATCTGTAATGGGCAGATACGTGCAGACAGTTTAAAAAAAAAAAGGTAATAGTAGAAATGTAACTCGTAGACAGTTAGGTCTTACCACTTGAGAAATATATGTACTTTCTAAAGCAGCTTCTGGAATCTTCTCATATAGTAAAAACTGTGTTTAGAATTACATTTTTCACACTTCCTGCAGAGACAACTAAATGGGATTTAAAGAGATTCATACTTAAACGAAAAGTGAAATTTGTCTTCTTG